AAGAAAGAAGGGAGAGAGAGGGAAGGGGAAAAAGAAGGATGGGAGGGGGGAGGGGGGAGGAGGGAGAGGAGGGAGGGAGGAAGAGAGGAAAAGAAAATGAATATTTCATGAGCAAAACAATTCCTTGCTCATTTATTAGAAAACAACAACAATAACAAAAAATTTAATTGAAACGTTGAGAAACAGAACATGTACCAGCTATCCATTGCTGCAGATCAGATGAATTTGCATTTTGGGATTTGCTTACTGCACATGATGCTCCTCTGACCATAACTGTCCCCTCCCCCACCATCTCCTAGCCCGAAGCAGACAACTTGTTTATGTTCTCCTCCTCCCACATGACAAAACCTTCCATGTCCGCTCAATTTCCTCCACTTCTTGGACTCATGTTATTGACTGTAGCCCCTGGGTCTGGGTCCTAAATAAGAACTGCTCCTCCTCAGAGGACTATTTCAGCAAACAAAACCTAGTCAGCACTTCCAGCAGCAGCAGCATCTCTGAGGCACCAGAGATAGGAAGCCCTTGGTTCTAAACACCTCTAACCAGCAAACAGCATCAGAGAACTTTTTTTGGTGAGAGGGAAATCTGGAGTGTATGACCATAACACAAGGATTATTCCTTCCTTTGACCAGCCTGCCAAGGTAACAAAATGTTCAAGGTGGAATTTCCCTAGGGCTCCAATCCGTGCAAGACGACAATGACGAACGGTTGGTTGCTCAGATTTTGGGTGTTTGTTTTGGTGCTACATGATATGTAGATGGTTCATTTTTGGAATGGGTGTACAACAGGGACGGCTTAGAGATTGCTTAAGCAATTCTTAAAGTAGTGGGGGAAAAGAGTTGGGAATTGAAAGAGGAAGGGAAGCCACAGAGGAGGTGAATTGGGGGTGGGGGGAGTGATTACGGGATGACTCTTTCTAAATTGCGTTGATCTCAAATTCCTCTTTACTGTGAATTTCTTGTTCTTACACTTTTGAAGTATGGTTGGTGGTACTTCAACGGAAGTTTTATTTTATTGTGTTAGTGTTTTAGTCTTATAACATTTTAGTGTCATGGATTTAAATTATCATGGTTTATGTGTATTTTAATTGTTCCAATTTTGATTTGGTGATTATAATTTGATGCTGAAAAGTTTGTAGCACTTAAAGCCTAAAAAAGTCATTGCTAGGGCTTAAGTTTTGATGGATCACAGCTTGACAGGCATTCTTGCATCTGAAATTTTCACTGGCTGATGTTTTAGGGCAGGGGATCCTATTTTAATGCAGTCATCCCAAATGGCTTTTTATCCCTTTCATCTTGAAGTTCTTTCCCTTTCATTATTCATTAATTTCGCAATTAGATTATTAGTTTGGATCCAGGATTGTTTTAAAAAGTTTTGTAATTATAACAGCAAAGTGATTGTACAGCAATTGCTTTGCAGAAGGAATTATATAAGTAAATATTATATTATTACATATTATTATGAATTTCAGTTTCCAAGCAACTTACTGCTTTCCAAAGAACTATTTTTTTTTCTTTCAGCAACTTTGTTTAAAAATGCTGAATTTACTCTGCATTTGCACAAAAAAGGAAATAACATTACAATACAATACAATACAAATACTTTAATGACCAAGTATAAAATATACACTAGGAATACCAGATTCAGCAATTTGCTGTCCACTCAGCTATTACTGTAAATCACAAAGTGTGTGAATAGAACTGAAAAGTAGTTTAACTTAATTTACTGTTTGGATAATATTTGAAGTCCCAGTGATTAGTAGCTTTGCTACAGCTCTTTATCTAAAAGAGATCTCTTCCTTCTAATAGCAGTGACAGTGTCCTTCATTCTGGTCTCCCTCACTCTGAACTAGCTTCAACAGCTTTTGATGATGTCATGCCTTAAACTAAATTAGATGTCTGGAGTTAGGAACCTAATATCCTATACATATTTAGGAGTATAATTTTCATAAGCCCTTACCACTGGACATGCTGACTGTGGCTGATGGGATTTGAAATCCAAAACATTAAGGAGAAAGTCGGTTGCATGCCCTACATCCATTATTATTAAAGGATCACCTTTCCCCCTCCCCCCTGCCAACTAAAAGTGTAATTGAAGCTAATGATGTTGGGCTCTTGAGAAACACTACTGACATCTGAATGCCAAATGTAGCCCCTTCTTGTTTAAGTAAAACTTCACTAGTTGGAACAGAAGCAAGTAAAGAAAGAACGAAGCTGCTAGTTCAGCAGAACTGATGGAACAGCTTTGTTCTATCTTCACTGGTATAACAAGTGCTCCTGATGGCATTGAAGGAAGGACCTTAGTTCTTCCCCAGATCATATGTAGTTTCCATCAGTAGAACCACAGAGGTCTATCAAGAGGAGGAAATGACACTTGTAAAAGTGTCCATGCACACCCTTCTATTTGCCCCAGGAACCTTAAACATCACCTTGCCATCTATCAATTATAACATTTTCCTTTTAATTTTGAACATTACAGATTCTGGGTTTGGGGTTTACTTCTAGTCCTCATGGAAATTACAGAGGCAGATAACTTTTTCTTTCTTATCTGCATCCCTAGGGTTTAATTCATCTATTTTACTGGCAAATTTCTATGGCAATGGTAGAAAGGGCTCTGGAATCCACCCAAAGCACCAGGAGGTATATAAGACCCATAGGCTGTGGGTTGCCTACCCTTATCCTCTATGAACAATAATCATATGGAAGGAGAATCATGAAGATATTGATTATATTAACATCACTTTTTTCTCTTCGTCCTTGTTATCCAGATTCCTTGTCAGTGTCTTCCATCTGCAGATGACACCTTTAGCACCATAATGCTTAACACACACAAAATGGTGTGGGTCTTTGACCTTGGCTTCCCCATGGGTAGCCTTCTCACTGCACTGGTGTTGGCCTCCTGCCTCATCTTGGGTGTCTCCAGCCAGACGGCCAACAGCTTCAAAGACAGCACCATCCCTTTGGAGAGTCTGGGGCAAGATCAAACTTACAGAATCCTTCAGGCAGGCGTCTTCCCAGATCTTATAGTCCCCTCCAACAAGTCAAAAGACTTTCCTGGGGATTCCATCACACAGGCTCCACCAGCGGTCATGTGTACTAAGCCAACAGAAATCCGGGAAGCCTTCAAATACATCAACACATTTGTCTCTTGTACTATCTTCATAGTGGGGATAATTGGAAATTCCACACTGCTAAGGATCATCTATAAGAATAAGTGCATGAGAAACGGACCCAATGTCCTCATCGCCAGCCTTGCTCTTGGAGACCTTTTCTACATCCTCATTGCTTTGCCCATTAATGTGTATAAGGTATTTATTTATTTTATTCATCACCTTTCTAACTTACCGTTGCTTTTAGAGTGGGTTTATCACATTGCTATGATACCCTTTCTTTCAAATCAGGCTTTACTTTATTGATCGGTGAGATGAAGTAAACAGATGCTCAAATATAAGGTTGATAATGGTAGTCCATGCATGATCTAAAAAGATGCATCTGCCTGGGACGCAACCAAGAAGAGTCCATAGAAAGTGGTACATGTATTACTGTAATGGTATGCGGGAAAGACTTCGGGAGACTGGGCCAAGAAATGCTGCCTAGGGAACAATCAGATAAGAGACAGCATAGCCCACAGCTGGATAATGGGTAGGGCAAGAGGCTCAGAAGGCACTCTCCCTAGTTGTAAAGGAGACAGCGGGAGATTTGTACTTTCAGACTTGCAAGATTCTGTTAATGTAGTGTTACAATAAAGTAGAATTAGCTCACCTGGTCATGTTTCCTGTCTGGTCTACCTGGGAAGGCTGACAATTAACTGCAGGAAATTCCAGATTTGATCCCTGATCTCTCCAGTCAAAAAGGGCTCTGAATAGTAGTGATGCCAAAGGTCTTTGTCAGAGAACTGGCCATCCAACTTCTGTCACTTGAGGTAGGGTGGGATTTCTACATGCTGAGAATACTCCTCTGGTAGATTATTCAAAACATTCTGCTCCGGTCACCCGAAGGAATGTAATCCACTAGCCACTGCAATGACCAGAATACATGGATATGGGAGAATAAGGAGAATTCTGAAAGTTCAGTGGTAACAACAGAGTGGAAACATGGAACATATATCCTACTATTATTTTTCTCCCACTTCACTGCACTGCATTGCAGTAAAAAAAAAACCCAGTAGAGTTATTGTTGTGTAGCTCAAGAGCCAAAAGTTGATCACATGTCATAAAGGCAGAAAAATTAGACTTAAGTAGGAGGTCTCCAGGCCAAAATATCTGTGAAATATAATTGTTTCATGTACCCCTCCCTCTCAGACTTTTCTGTTTTCTGGATTTTTACATAGTCATCTCCTCAGAAGTCATATTGGCAAGGACTCAAAAAAGTTGTATATTTGGAGTAATCTTCTCCAACCTGGTGTCTGTCTAGATATGCCCCACAGTGGCTGGAGTTCATAGAAGGACCAATTTAGTTCAGTCCGGATAGCTCCTTGTGGAGGATGTATGGGTTCCAAGTACTTTAAGATCCCTTGGACATCCCAAGGAATTGCCATCCATCTCACCTTCTGCCTGAATTTAGCCTTGCAGCAGTAATTAGTGTTTTACTGAATTTGGACATTTCTCTAGCATCTTTGCTCTCTCTATATAAAGAAAATCCAACAGAAACAGTTTTAAATATTTTAAAAGGAGGTGCAGAATAAGGAATGGTTGAAGAAAATAGGAGTCAGTTATTCCATGTTCACTATTCCAATTATTCCATCTTCACAAACCCCATGATACAGAATACTTACAATCATTTATACAATTATAGTGTACTTACAATCATTTGCAGCAATTCATTTCAAAGCCATGCATGCATGTCCAATAATCCTGCTCTTTCCAGTTTTAATTAGGTTGGGAGAATACTTTCCACCTAAGAGGAGGTGAAGAGGTGGGGAAAAGCTGGAGAACACCCAACCCATTGATGACTTAGGCACCTAGAGATTGCTTATACCTAACTGGTCAATGTAGCATAGTATTGTCTAACCCAGGATGGGCAATCTTTGGCTATCAATCTTAATTGGTATTCTTCTATTAGACAGAGAGCTGCTCCCAAAAGGTCAGTAGGAGCAAGATGCAAGAGTGACCAACCCAGAGCAGGTGGAAAGGCAGGAGAAAGTGGGGCCAGTATTATTTTCCACTAGGGTTTTGTAATTTATTTATTTGTTTGTTTGTTTATCAAATTTGTCACTGCCCATCTCATTACAAAACAACTCTGGGCGGTTTACAGAAAATATCAATATTAATTAAAAATACAATATAACAATTAGTCCTAAATAAATAATAAATATCTTCCAAGAAGTGACGGTAGCGAGAAATGATGAGGCTTGGGGAGTGTCATCAGGACGCCAGCCACCCCCAGGGTTGGTTAAAGCTCTTCTTGCCCCACGCAAGCTGGCAGAGCCAGGTATTCAGTCCTTTGGAGTCCTTGGAGTTCTCTGAGCTTCGTCCTTTTTTGCAAATGTTTCATTACCTGGCTAGGTAACATCTTCAGCACTGAAGAACCAAGCTCAGAGAACCCCAAGGACTCCACAGTTCAACCCTGAGCTACACATATTTACCGCTATTCAGTTCTTCCTGGACAGCTGGGAGTGTAGGGGCCTGCCACACCTCTGGGGGGAGAATATTCCAAAGGGTGGGGACAATGGCAGAGAACACTCTCCTCCTGGGCCCCGCCAGCTGGCATTTTCTTGCTGATGGGGTCCGTAACATCTGCCTGAATGGATGGGACAGGTCAATGTAATGGGGACGAGGATCCCTCAGGTAGCCTAGACCCATGCCATGTAGGGCTTTAAAGGTAATAACCAACACCTTGAATTGGATCTGGTAGCAAACTGGGACCCAATGCAGCTCCCGCAGCAAAAGTGTTATATGTGCCATCCTTGGGACACCCAAGTTTGTGTTTTGGGTTAGACTGGGGAAGTCAAAAAGCTATCCCAGAAGGCAGGGGCAAACCACTTCTGCACCGCTGCCAAGAAAACGGTGTGGATGTGTCCATAAAGTCACCAGGAGTTAAACTCAACTTGAAAGAGACTTATTTTACTCACATACTAGCTGCCATTTCAGCCTAGGTCAAGGTGTTCACAGTGGTGTATAATTCTTACAGGGCATAGGTCCAAACTACTGATAGGATTTCATATTTTTGTACAATCCACCCCACATTCTTGTGCCATCCCTGGACATTCATTATGGGTCCCACCGTGGATGCGTGTGAACTCTACGATCAATTGTACTTTCTCTATGGAGGGACAAATGCTAAGGAACGAATCGTTCCTGGAGTTGAAGCAAGCCTTTACTGGAGGGGGCTAAAAGTAGATTCAATCACTCAGTCTTGTTCATGTTTTAGTATTTTTGCCTGGCTTCTGTTTGTATCAGGAGATAGTCCAAAAATGCAGAGAATGTAAACATGCAATCACCATTCTCAAGCGATCTTAAGAAAGGAAAGGCTCAAGCTTTATTACATGTAGGCATGTGCAGAAAAGCAGCTCATTAAATCTGAAGTGGGTGTACAGTACATTCTCTAGCAGCTCTCCTACCTGCCAAGTGACTCTCCACTGACTGTCAGCCATTCCTGAATTTCAAAAAAGACTTCGTTCCTAGCTTTCTTAGTTCCATTCTCAGGAAAGCCTGACATGTTGATGTTAAGTTCCCACTTTTCTTGTTCTTAAGAGTTCTTAAAATACGTCTTTTTTTAATTATGTGGTTTTGTGATTGTTTTTATTGTATCATGCAGAGCTAGCTGATATACAGAGTCTAAATAAAAATATAAAGCAAGGAAGCTTAACCAGCCAGAGATGCTGGGAATCGGGGGTGCATTTGAAAAGATGGTGATGATTCTGGAGGGACAATAGCTTCTAAATGCCTAATTTGTCTGAACCCTCTCTGTTACACAAATACCCCCACATTCTCCCAAGAATCTTCCATCATGGACAAATCATGATGATTTCTTTCCTTTTTTTTTCCTTCTTCACAGCTTCTTGCAGAAGATTGGCCTTTTGGTGTACAGGTGTGTAAACTGGTGCCATTCATACAGAAGGCCTCTGTAGGCATTACCGTCCTCAGCCTTTGTGCGCTCAGTATAGACAGGTAATAAGCCCTTTGGAGCATTTCTCGTTCAGCCTGACTCATCACCTTCTCGGTCAAAAAAGTCAACCGGGTGGCCATGATGGTGCAATCAAAGCTCTGCCTGGTTTTTCTATATTTCTGATTGGCTCTACGAACCTCCCCTCTATACAAGGTACTCCATCTTGCCTACGTGAAAGGGGATGCAGCTCATGAACCCACCTGTTCTACAAGGGTTTGGAAGAGTTGAATGCACCATGTCAGCACATGCAATGTGTATTCGAGCCCAAAGGGATTTTGAAATTCTCCTTGCTGAGCATCCCATATGTAACTGCCCGATTATAAACCTGGTTGCTGGCTACCACTTATTTTTCAATGTTGCCTTAATCTCTTAGGTAGGAATCTGCAAAGAGCAACTCCTTTGTTTCTCATGTAGGTACCGAGCTGTGGCTTCCTGGAGTCGGATCCAAGGCATCGGGATCCCCATGTGGAAGGCAGTGGAAGTGACTTTCATTTGGGCACTGGCCATCATCCTGGCTATCCCCGAAGCCATTGCTTTTGACTTGGTGAAACTGAATTACCGTGAACAGATTCACTGGGTTTGCTTGCTGGCCCCGGAGCAAAAATCCAGTTTTATGATGGTGCGTTCTCTCCTTTGGTGGTGCTAGGAAACAGAGAAGCTGAACAACCAGTAGGCTTAGCATCAAATGTATATCTCTTCCTGCTTTGAAGGTACAGGCCCTTTTCCTCTGGCTAGTTGGGAGTAGCTGAAGGACACAAGGATTGTCTGGAAACTTGATCTCACTCTGTATATCCCTCATTCCAGCCAATGTCTTACTTGTCAGTCTCCTCCATTCTGGTGCTCCCTAATTGTATTGGGACTACTTCTCACCAGGACTGGCTGGGAAGTCTGGGAGTTGTAATCTCACCATATATGGAAGGCACTAGCTTAGAGTAGGCACGGGAAGGAAGGGAAGGAGGGAG